TTTTTGTCTTTCTCTGTCAAGGGACATTTCAGCAGTAGCTCTGTGAGCAATAACAGGAAAAGCCAACTCCCCCGGCTCTTTCACATGGAACTTCCACATTTTCAGATAATAGACATGATGGTGGATCTGCCGTGACCCTAGATCTCTGACCCTGCTCGGTAAAGTGAGGTGGTAAGAATAAAAGAATGTGTTACCCCCGCTCTGTGCTCCATCCCCAAAAACTAAGAACACACCAGGTGGCTGCTGTTGTTACCCTGGTTGGTGTTTTTTAATAGAGGCATTTGCATTATTTATTTTTGTCTACAAATGAATCATCAACAGATGTTCAAGTCTCATTTTTAACCCAATTCCTGGGCCCCTGCTTGTGGGTCTGTTTCCCATGGTCAATAACCTGCTGGGAGTGATGCTTGTGTATTGCTTGGGACAGATGATTAAAATGCGCATATCCTGGGCCCCTTCCCCTTTTTTATAAGAAATGCAGTGACAAGACAATCATTTCCTGCATCTGTAGGGACGTGCAGTGTGATTCTGCTCCACGTTAAGGATGTAAAATCCCAGTTAATGAGTTAACCAGTTAAACCATAGGTTTAACTGAAAAAAATTAAAAAACAACAAATGGTCCTGCAGCACCTTAGGGTATGTCTACACTGCCATCCTAGTTCGAACTAGGGTAGCTAATGTAGGCATTCAAACTTGCAAATGAAGCCCGGGATTTAAATATCCCGGGCTTCATTTGCATGTTCCTGGGCACTACCATTTTTAAATGCCCCGTAGTTTGAACTACCTGCCCGCGTCTACCCGTGGCATGGACTAGGTAGTTCGAATTAAAGTCCTAATTCGAACTACCATATTCCTCCAGCAAGGAGGTTTAATGGTAGTTTGAATTAGGAGCTTTAATTCGAACTACCTAGTCCATGCCACGGGTAGCCGTGGACAGGTAGTTCGAACTACGGGGCATTTAAAAATGGTGTTGCCCGGGAACATGCAAATGAAGCCCAGGATATTTAAATCCCGGGCTTCATTTGCAAGTACGAATGCCTACATTAGCCACCCGAGTTCTAACTACGGTGGCAGTATAGAGATACCCTTAGAGACTAACAAAACATGTAGTTTTGATGGTATCATGAGCTTTTGTGGGCACAACCCACTTCTTCTGATGAATGGAGCAAGGGTTCCAGAGGTACAAATAAATAACAGAAAAGCAGGGAACGCACTACCCATTTTCCAGAAGGTTTGGGAAGCAGAGATCCTCTAGGCTTCGTCTTCACTGTGAGTTTTTCTGGCAGAAAATATGCTAATGAGGAACTCATTAGCATAAGTTGTGACATTAGCATATTTTCTGCCGTTTCTTTTTGAGCAAAAAAAAATGCAGTGTGGACATTTATTTTTTGTGCAAAAAGCCCATTTTGCGCAAAATCCTAATGCCTGTCCCAGAGAAGCATAAAGATCTTGTGCAAAATGGGTTTTTTGTGCAAAAAATAAATGTCCATGCTGCTTTTTTTTGCGCAAAAACCCCTTCCGCAAAAAGAAACAGCAGAAAATATGCTAATGATGTTGTGACTTATGCTAATGAGTCCCTCATTGGCATATTTTCTGCCAGGAAAAACTCGCAGTGAAGATGAAGCCTTAGAGTGTCCATGTTAAATGAGGCTAATAGAATGGGTGTAAGTGCCCAATACTTAGCTTTTGATGTCATTAAGGTGTTGAATGTAGCGCCCCATCCAGTTCATGTCTTTGTTCAAACCTTGATTAAATGTGTCAGATTTGAAAATGAAGGCAAGTTCCGCAGTTTCTCTCTCCAGCTGGCTTTTGAAATTGCTTTGTAAGAGTATAGTCACTTTTAGATCCATTAGGCAGGGCTTCTCAACATGCGGACCACACTGCATTTGTTGTGGCCTGTGGTGCGGTTTGGGTTTCCACGGGGCTCAACATGCAGCCCATCAGTGGGATCCTTTGAACATGACCTCCCGGGGGAACACGCTTCACAACAGCGAGGTGTCTCCCAGGTGGGGTGAGCATTGAAAGATGCAAGCGGACAGGCTGGCTGGAACAGACAGGTACAGGGTGTTGGCATTTCTAGCCTCCACATGGAGGAGGTGCCGGGAGTGCTGGGAATTGTGGGAAGTGCTTTGTATTCATGCCCATCAGTGTGAAACCACCGAAGTGTGGTTGTGTATATTTCCATATATATTTGCATGTATATGCAACCACACTTAAGTTGTGGCCCTCAGCATGTGCTGTGAGTAACATTCTTCCAAAGTTGAGTAACCTTGCTTTAGTGAGTGCCTGGGCAAGTTAGAATGTTCTCCAGCAGGTTTCTGTGTGTTACCATTCCCTTCCCATAGAGACTGTCCACTTTGGCCAGTGTACATGGCAGAGGCACATTGCTGGCACTTGATGGCATAGATCACATTGGTGGATGTGCAGTTAAATGAGCCTCTGATGTGGTGGCTCATGTGGCTAGGTCCTGTGATGGTGTCACTTGTGTAGATAGAGTTGGCACCAGGGCTGATTGCAGGGGTGGGTCCTGGGTCAGTATGATGGAGGTGTACTGTGTTACTGCAGAGAATTTGTTTGAGGTTAGGGGTGGTCTGTCGGCGAGGATTGGCCTGTCCCCAAGGCCTGTGAGAGTGTGATCTATGCCATCAAGTGCCAGCAATGCCCCTCGGCCATGTACATTGGCCACACTGGACAGTCTCTATGAGGAAGGATTAATGGACACAAAGCAGATATCTGAAAATGGTAACTTGTGCTAAGAGAGCCTGCCACCAGTGAGGGTTTCCCCAGTCCCAGATAAGCAGACTATGGAAGAGTGTCCTGCACGGCTGGTTTTATGGGCTTGTTTTAGTGTTAATGAGACACTAACAATGCAAAGTCTGTGCTTCTGCCTTTGCTCTCACAGAGCCCTTGGCAGCAGCAGTGACCCTTGGCATCCTGCCCACAGCTTCCAGGTCTCAGGATCAGCTTAGAACAGAAAACCCACTTGGAGAAATCCTGAATGGATTTGGTGCCAGCAGGTGCCAGGTTGAGCTCTGCAGACAGAGGGCCTCTCTGCACAGAGCAGAAACTTGGCCAGGCTACAGTAAAACTCCTCAGCCCGGCCTGGCAGGGACCTTCTTTAGATGGGAGCTCTAGCTCAGTGGCTCCTCAGCCTCTTGGCCTCTGCTGAGACTGTCAGCAAGTGGGCCAATAAGTGCCAGCAGTGATGGTGGGTCTTGTGCTATAGACACATGTCTAACGGGAACTGGGCTGAGAACCCACCAATTCACTTCACATGTGGGCTCTTGAACATCTGTCAGAAGGGGACAACTCAGTCCCTGCTGCTCAGAGTTAGAATTGGAACCAGCAGTAGCCTAAAGGATAATGTCTGTTTGATCCAGCCTCCTGAGCTCTCCTGTACCTTTTATGCTGAGCTCCTTGACCCTGGACCTCTTGGTGCCAGCTGGCAACAGGCATGGGAGCAAATAAGAGTTACAGGGTTGTGATTCCCCATTTGTTGATGTCTGTGGGTTCTGTTTCCATTTCTGCCACTAACTCATTGTGTGACACTGGGCGAGATGTTTCATTTCTTTTCACTTAGCTTTTGATGTCATTAGGGTGTTGAATCTATAACCCTGGGATTGTGCTAGTGTTTTACCTGTTGTGGAGGGGTTGGGAGGGTCCGTTAATGAACGGTTGTCAAGTGCTTCAGATCTCCAGGCAAAAGATGGAGACCTTCTATAGAGGTGCAAAGTGTAAAGGAGTCTAAACACACTGAGATCATACAAATATTGACCAGCTCTCAGGTCCTTAGAAATCAAATATTGGTCCAGGGAAATAATATTTTCTTAGATTATCTGGTGTATTGCCCAATGCTGAGGGCAAATCTCTCCGCTGCTGCCCTCAAAGACTGTTTGTTTGTTTGTTTTTTCCCTTTGGATTTTGTTACTTAAGTAGAAGACATTGACTGGCGGAAAACAAATGAATCTTTCATAAAACATTTTGTAGGAAATGGGATGTGTAAAAGGAGATCATGTAGCACATTTATTATGGATTTTAAAAAGATAACTGAAAGGGAAGGAAACAAATGGCCCATTGATGAGGAATTTTCTGTCCCACACTCCATGTTTTGGCAGGTTTCAGAAGCTCCAGTGGGCTGGAACAAGCTCGGCTACAAGCAGGGTTGGCATGTAGCTGTCACCCTAGAAATCAGTGCAACAATCTCTTTGCTTTCCCCTTGCTCCACTTGCTGCAGGGCTGTAGCAGAAGCAAATTGTCATGACACCCTGCGGATTCAGCTGTGTTAATGAGAACATTGCAGAGGGTGGGGCCAAAGCACTGCCCTCTCCCACCCACAAGGTCAGGAAGGAATAGTGGGCACACAGTCCCTAGTTATGCCTGTGTGTCTTCCCTGGGGATGGATATAAGGGGGGCTCTTACTTCCCGTAGATGCCAAGGCAGGAGTTGTAATACACCAGCTGAGGGTGTGGTTGCTATAATTTGTAAAGTCCCTGTACAAAACCCAGCTTTTCTCAGGTTTGAGCAAAGGCGTCTTAGGTTTTTGTGGGTGTTTGTTCTTTCCAAATAGCTTGGAAGGAGTCCTGTGATGGCATATAAATCTTTTTTTTTTTTTTGTGGTCGGTGACTGAGATATTATTGGAAAGGTATTTGGCAAGGCTGTAGCTGCTACAGCAGAGGCTCCTAGCTGTTTGGGGATTAGGTGGAGTCACAGGATACAGGATGATTCATCTGCCTTGTAATGAAAACTCTTACACATAGACTGCGAGTCACTAATTGTGCTTCAGATCCAGGGCTACTTAATAGAATGAACGTCACCTTCTTCAGATCCACTTGTGTCTGGTGTGGTGATGTGAATGACTCGATGAAGGGCAGAGATGTTCGTAAATATCCGTGAGCTGTGCCCTGAAATT